TAGAAGGGAGGCTCCGAGACCCTGCCTGGGGTGGGATTCGCTGCTTCCCAGCAGCCTGGCCCACATTCCCAGAACTTGTCGGCTGGTTGTTCAGTTCCAGCTTTGACTTCGTCACAGTATGAGGCTCGGGCCACAGCCTGGGACCCAGCAGACACTGCCCAGGACACCTGATGCATTCCCTCTTGCTGTCCCCTTGCCTTCCCTTCTAGGGCCATACTACTTGAATCACTGCATCTAATTTGTCTCAGTGTCAGGCCTAAGACCGGTGCCCTCTTCTTGACTTTGGGTCAAGAGTACAGGGACCCAGTTTGGCTGAGAAAAGGACCCGCCCTTGGCTATTCCCCTTCCCCAAACTCTAGGGAGGTTCCCAGAAGGCCAGAGTGCCCAAGCCTCGTGCCTGGGAAGCCGGAGTCCCCGGGAATTTGAACACTTACAGATCGGGCTGGATGAGCTCAGCAGGTCTCACTCCAGAGGGTCAGAATGTTAGTCTGCCTTTGTTTTTGTTTTGTTTTTTAGATCAGTTTTGTTTCTCGAGTCAATGCTGTTGATGACAAGTTGTCTTTAATAAATAATGTGTTCTCTACAGTGGGCATTGGTGCTGTCATGGGCTGAAACCTTTGGGACCTCAGACCAGGAAAAGAAATTTGAGCAGGGATGGAATCAGGAGGCTCTTAGTGTTGTCTGAGAAAAGGCCGGGGTGTTCTCGGTGGAAGGATGCCTTTGACTCTTCTACTTCAGCCGTGCAGCGTGCAGCTGGGCAGGGGAGGGAATGCGGACCTGGGAAAAAGGTGTTACATCATGGTTTCACGGCAGGTTATTTTTTAGATTGAAACATTGGGAGAATTCAAAGACATGTAAATCCAGCCATTCATACTCCATAAAGCAGAGAAAATCACTGGTAATATGTTAGTCTTTGCAGATGTGATTTTCATTACATAATTGTTTATTTTTTCAAATGATTGCTTCTATTAATGTGTTAAGTTTTTTAAGGCATTGTAGGTTTCTTTTTTATGTCAGATACCTGAGGTCAGGTCTGCTATTTAAATGAAGTTACAGCTGGACAATTTATGAACCTTAAAGATAGCACCACTCCTCCCCCAGAATCCCAGGAAATGCGTAATTGTCTTCTTTTTTTTTTTTTTTTAAGATTTTATTTGTTTATCTTTAGAGAGGAAGAGAAGGAGAGGAGAGAAATATCAATGTATGGTTGCCTCTCGTGAGTCCCCTGCTGGGAACTGGCCTGCAACCCAGGCATATGCCCTGACTGGGAATTGAACTGTGATCGTGTGGTTCGCAGGCCCGTGCTCAATCCACTGAGCTACACCAGCCAGGGCTGTAATTGTCTTCTTAATACACAGTTTTGAGTATTGTCACATCCCTCATGGTACGTGGGGAGCAAGTTGCTGTGTGATTTTAAAAATGTTTATAGGATATATACTATTCTATCTAATACGCTGACAATGTTGGAAACCAGTCTGTTAAAGATTGTATTTATTTATAGAGTGAGGGGAAGGGAGGGAGAAAGAGGGAGAGAAAAATTGATGTGCTAGAGATACATGGATGGGTCGTCTCACATGCCCCCAACCTGGCATCTGGCGGGCCACCCGGCATGTGCCCTGAGAATGGAACCAGCAACCTTTTAGTTGGCAAGCTGTCACTCAATCCACTGAGCCACACCAGCCAGGACTCTATTTCTGAATATTTATTATACTGTGAAGAAGTTTCTGTTTGGAACACTTGCATTCCCGATTTACTTCCCCAGCTCAGTCCTCTAAGTGGGTTTAAAGATAAACCTTTCTAAGGCTTTTCACATGTACTGCCAATCAGAAGGGTGCCTGTTTCTGTTCCGACCAGCAGTTAGGATCTGCCGCCTGCATCCTCATTCTCACTCTGGGTGTTAGGAAAATCTTGGCCAATCTTCTGTAACTTTTGGCTTATTGTGTCATGGTTAGAGAGGATAGTCTCCGGTGTCTTGTCCTTGTTCCGCCAACGAGGAGCTCCTTCGCTAGGCTCTTCAGGATTAAATGAAGTATTGACGGAAGCACTTGACCACAGACGCTTAGTGCTCTTAAAGTGGGAGCTCTCTATGCAGGGGCAGTAGAGAGCCAGGGAGCGGAAATCCGGAAGGAGGCGGGGCGGGGTGGAGCTAGGTCTGGCAGCGGCCAATCACAAACCAAAACGCTAGTGTTACACCGCTCAGACCCTCATTTTAAAGGACAAAGAAAAGGCATCCGCTTCTGGCTGGTCCTGGGTTCCCCTTGGTTAGAGGCTTAATCCCTTCCGAGTCTTTGTGAAGGGAAGGGATTTAACTTGTACCCGCCCGCCCTTCCAGCCGGCATCCAACCCCACTGTGGGCCCAGCAGGCGGGGGCGGCCTCTTTAAGAGTCTCACTGGTCAGACGGAGGTCGAAGCATTTCCTCGGCGCTGTGGGTCGCCTTCCATTTGCGTGGCTGTCGAGCTCCCGAGCCATGCAGGCTCTCCGGGCTGGCCTGACCCTGGCGCTGGGCGCGGGGCTGGGCGCAGCTGCAGAGGGCTGGCGGCGACGGCGAGCAGATACGCGGCCAGCCCCGGGGCTACTGGGCCGGCTACCCGTTTTGCCTGTGGCGGCGGCAGCCGAGGTGCCCGCCGTGCCTGCTGTACCTGGGGCCTTGGCGAGCGGTGGCCCGGGCGAACTGGCTAAGTACGGTCTGCCCGGGCTGGCACAGCTCAAGAGCCGCGAGTCATACGTGCTTTGCTACGACCCGCGCACTCGCGGTGCGCTCTGGGTGGTGGAACAGCTGCGGCCCGAGCGGCTTCGAGGCGATGGCGACCGCCGCTCGTGTGACTTCCGCGAGGATGAGTCGGTGCACGTGTACCACCGCGCCACGAACGCTGACTACCGCGGCAGCGGCTTCGACCGTGGCCACTTAGCCGCCGCGGCCAACCACCGCTGGAGCCAGAAAGCCATGGACGACACATTCTACCTGACCAACGTTGCGCCCCAGGTAGCGCCCCCGGCTAGGTGGCGGAAGGCGAGGCCAGTCCCTTGCCTCTCGGAACTTCGGTTTGCTCCTCTGCAGAATGGGGAGGCTGCCCAGTGCGCGAGCTGGTCAGGTGCTTACTGATCACACCCCGTGCCTCCATAAGCTGGCGGAATGGAACTCTGGGTCCCTGCTGTGCAATCTGACCCTGAGGGCCACTGGGCTACGTTCTTCGTCTTCGAAATGGGGATATTAATATTATTCACGTACTTTTTATAGTGGACCCGATGCATATAATAGTACTGAGTGCACTTCCTGGCTCAAGACAAGCATTCGATCAATATTAGGTATAATGAGGGAACTGAGGTTCAGAGAGACAAAGTGACTGGCCCAGTGTCACACATCTGGGAAGACTCCAGCAGTCTGTCTAGAGGACCCTGAGCTTTCAGCCATTGCCCTACCCCACTTGCCTGCCTGGATCGTATGGAAAGATACCTGCTGGCAGTCAGCTGTTAGTAGCAAGCTGCCCTACCTCTGGTCCTGATCCCACAAGGGCCTGGCACCCACTGGATGAAGACTGTTTGGGGGCCCAGGATGAACCCGATGGGGTCTGAGCCTCTGGCCTGACTTCTGCTCTCCCAGTGGTAGTCAGCCCCCTACCTGTTTGACTAGACATTATACTGAGGACTGGGGCACTCCAGTGTGGAATTGGCAGCAAATTCATGGTCCCAGCTGAGCTCGGCATGTGGTCAAAGGGGCAAAGGGCAGATTGGGAGAGTTGGCTCTCCTCCGTGTGGCTCTTCAGGGCTTTCAGATTGGGGTTGCTAGTCCTTCCATTCTGTGGTGGGGGCTAGGGGTGGTTGGTGGCTGGCCCCTCTTGAACTCCCCCCTACAGCCAGTGATCTAAATAATTGACTTTCATTCCTTGAACCAGTTTCTACTGCATGCTTGTCTCCCCAACCCTGCTGGAATCTCCATTCTTGGAGCCCTGGGTAGCCCCTCTAACAGAAGCAAAGGTCCCAGCCAGTATCTCAGCCCCGTCTCCTACCAGGTGCCGCACCTTAACCAGAACGCCTGGAACAACCTGGAGAAGTATAGCCGGAGCTTGACTCGCACCTACCAGAACGTCTATGTCTGCACAGGGCCACTCTTCCTGCCCAGGTAAGGTTAGAACTGGACACACTGGCATCTCCTACTCATGCCATCCAGGCTTGTCCCAAGCTCTGGGTAAACACTGCCAGGTGTGATCATCTGGGTTAACAACCCTGTCCACTCCCTGCCTCAGACTCCTGAGTTCACTTCTGCAGCCAGAGGCCTTGAGGGCACCCATCGAGACCACTCTCGTTTGCCCATGGGCACCAGGCCCTGCACCTGTCCTCTCTCCTACTCGGCCTCTTGCCACATCCACCCACCCAGCCTTGTCCTGCCAAACAGAAACCCTTTTATCAGGCTCTCCTCCTGCCCCCATCTCCTCTGGAGCAACCCTTCTGCACCCTGCTCCTGATCCCGAGACTTCACTCTCAGGCATGAGGGACAGAGCATTCTCGGGCATGCTTGTGATTTTTCTGGCCCACTGAGGACTGGATGAGTGTGACAGGTTGTGGTGAAGCAGCTGGCTCTGGAGTCCATGGGCTGGAAGGGACCTGGCTCTACCACCTGGTCTGTGGGCACCGTGGGCACATCACTCCACACCCCCCATGAAATGGGTAGTGCCTGTTACCTAGCTTGTGGTTGTTGAGTGACAAAGTAGGATGGTGAATGTCGCCATAATAAGGGCTCAGCGTGGGCTCTCCGAGACACTGGTAAACTTGAATGAGCAAGTGCCTCCTAAGGCCTACTTTAGTGGAGCACACCCTGCTGAGGGTTAGCCCGGAAGTTACCCACAGGGCAGTGTCCTGGGCATCTGCTATTCACCTGGCCCCTGAGCTGGTGCTGGAAATCCAGCCGCCAGACTGGAGCCCTGGTGCTGGCCCTCCACAGGGAGAGCCAGGCGGTCACCAGGTGTCTGCACGGATGAACTGAGGTGTTTAGAAGGCAAGATTCTTTCAGTAACATTTATTGTCATCAACACTCGCTCTGCTTGACACCCAGTGTTGGGCATGAGGACAACAGGGTCAGAGTGAGTGCGCCCTGTGACTGACACAAGTTGGGGGTCAGGTCAAGGAATGCTTCCTGGAGGTGGCAACCTTGGGAGCCCTGAAAGGCCATGTGCCTGGATTTGCCTGCAGGACAGAGGCTGATGGGAAGTCCTATGTGAAGTACCAGGTGATTGGCAAGAACCACGTGGCAGTGCCCACGCACTTCTTCAAGGTGTTGATCCTGGAGGCAGCAGGCGGGCAAATCGAGCTCCGCTCCTACGTGATGCCCAACGCGCCTGTGGACGAGGCCATCCCGCTGGAGCGCTTCCTGGTGCCCATCGAGAGCATTGAGCGGGCCTCAGGGCTGCTCTTTGTGCCGAATATCCTGGCGCGGGCCAGCAGCCTGAAGGCCATCACCGCAGGCAGCAAGTGAGGGCGGCAGCCCAGCCAGACTGAGGGTGTGGGGCTGGGTCACACACATTAAAGGTGGCTATTTTTGGAGAAAGTCTCATCTGTGTCAGTCCCAGGTGACCCTCAGGAACCCCTGGCTTCCTCACTGCTTCTTCCCAGTCTTGTGCCAACAGAACCTTCAGCTGTGCTGGGCGCCTGCTTGGGTGAGGCCCGGCTGCAGGGCAGCCAGGGAGATGAGGATGGCTTCCTGGAAGGAAAGGACAGCAATGGGCTGACAGCGATGGGGCCTGGGAGGTGGGCAGGTACCCTGGCTCCTGACCTGTCTTCCATGCCTGACTGCCCAGCACCCAGCCCCTTGGGGTTTGCTGCCCTCAGCAGGGCCCTGAGGAGGTCAAGGACAGGCCCAGTGTCACCCTGATTTGTCACTGGCTGGCAGAATGCCCTGCCGTGGGAGGGCCTCACCTCCCTGCTCCTCAGTCTCCCCCTCTGTAAAATAGGGGTTGATCATAGTAATACCTGTCTTCTACCGTCAGGGTCAGGGATAGGAAGCTCTCAGCACCTGGTACAGGCATTGGAAGGATGGGAGCTGGGGTTTCTGTTGGGAGGGTGTAGCTAGCAGGCTTGCAGCACCTGGCCCCAGCATGACCCTTGGGGACAAGTAGACTGAGGTAGGTCACCTGTTTAGTCACTGTACTTTGAGGCTGGTCCCCAGCACAGAGTCCACAGGCATGGCGATCTGTGCTCGGCTCAGAAGCAGGGCCGTGGCTTCTGTGGGTGTGTAGGGCTGTGGCTCTCAGCCAGCTCCACCCTGTCCCCTGCGGGGAGGCGGCCCTGTCCACCGGGGTCACACTTGGGAAAGTGGAACGCTGATCATACAGCGAAGGAAATGGAGGCCCAAAGCAGGAGTGGGGGAGTCTCCTGGGTCATCCCGCTTGGGAACAGCTGGACGGGCAACACCACCCAGGAATCTTGACTCCCACTCACTTTTACCCTGTCCTGACCACAAGTCTGTGGTGAGAGGCCAAGGGTGAGGAGACCATCTCCAGGGAAGGCTGGCTCAGGGCAGCCTCAGACAAGGCAGGCCATAGAGTTGCAACCCCCCCTTGGACAGACCCCAAGGTCCTGGCTGGTGGCTGAACCTTGAGAATGGCCTGGGGCCGGAGGTGGGGGAGGCAGGCTGGCTCACCTCTGTGCGGATGGTGCGGCTGCCCTGGCCGGGGCAGGTGTTCAAATACAGATCGAAGAGAACACTGGGCTCAGCCACCTCCAGGTTGGGATCAGCATCTACTCCAGCTTCCAGCCCCTGGAGGCCCCCGAATACCACGAGAGCGTGCCTGGCACCCATAGGGGAGAACCGCTGGCTGCTCATCCAGGCCACACTGAGAGCAGCCCTCCTCACACAGTGGGGGCCAGTCTCCAGTTCTGCCCTCCCCCAGACTGGCCCTCTGCTCTCTTCCTCCTCCCCTGGCCCCTGCCCCAGGTTGCACCCACCTAAAGCTGGGAAGCTGGGCAGAAGCCGCATCCGAGCCTCGCTCTGATGTTCCGATAGTCAGGTCATACCCATCCTGGAAGGGGGCCTCAGCAAACACTGCACCTGGGGGTAAAGCCAGCTCGGTAGGGGTCTTGCTTTCCACAAGCCCCAGATGCTTGGCTGTACATGTGTATACTGTGTGGGGCACGGTGTGGAACAGAAGGGGGCTCAGGAAGGGAGCCCCCAGGCCCTCCTCTGTTCCTGGAGAGGCAGGCACTGATCAGGGGGAGGCCGCACCTGTGCTGGACTGGGGACACCAAGCAGAGGATGGGCGGGTAGGAAGGAGCTTCGAGAATATATACTGTACTTCTGACTTACCTGGCCTTTTTGCCCCCATTCCCACAGCAGACATTACTAATCGATCGTGATACAATACTTTCCCTTGGAAGTCTTTAAGGGCACCCAGGCTGAGCACTCAAGGAGACCACAGCCTGGAGCAGCAAAGGCAACTGCCCAAGGACACAGAGCAAGGGCTCTGGTCTGACTTTTGGGTCCAGCAAGGCTCTCTGCAGCCTGGAGGAAGGGGGTTCAGAGGAAGAAGCTCTGTCCTTACTGAGGCAGGAGGCCAGTCGAACTGTGTAGCCCCAGTAGAGACCAGCTTGGGTGCGCGGGTCCTGAGACGACACGACTTTCCCACGGTAGGTCTTGCTTTCTGGAGGGGGGCAGAGAGGCTGTGAAGATGGGGTGAGGGGACAAGGAGGTGGAAGGAGGCGGCTCTGAGCCCTCAGATACCTGGGAGCTGCTTCTGGGTCAGCCGCACAGTCACCCGAAGTCCAGGTTCCAAGTTCTTGTCGATCTGCACCTCCTAGGGGGAAGCCAGAAGTGGGTGCCGTTCCCCACAGGACCGGCAGAGGTCACTACTCTCCCAGTCGTGGGGGAATCTGGCTGGCAAGGGATTTAAGGGATCCAGGCAGGTCAACCTTTGCCCCCACACCTGCTCACAAGACAACATTCCTGCAAAGTGGCTGTCACAGACACTGGTCATCAATGAACACTCTGGGCCTAGCACAGTTGGAAGTAAATGTCGTGAATAGACAAAATTGTTTTCTACACTTTGGTGGCTGTGCCACTTCTAACCATAGGAAGTGGAGTGATCGTTCAGCTTCTCTGAGCCTCAGTTTCCTCATCTGTCAAATGAAAACACGCCATGAACAACAGCTATTGTTACACCGCACAGGGCCTGGCGTGAAGTAAACGCTAACTGCGTGGGAGCAGTGATGGACACCTAGCGACGTCTGCCTGTGCCAATTCTGAACTGAGGGTAGGGTGCGCCCTTTCTCTTTCATAGGGTTCTTATGCTTTTCTCTGTTCATCCGTTTCTGGGTCATCCTGGTCTGCATTTAACCAATTATTTCTGGTCTGCTCTTTTGAGGGGAGGGGACCCCACATATTTACATGTCTCCGCCTTTGACTCTAAGACTTGAAAGCAAACAGGCAGCAAACAAATGCTCTGTGTCACACTGGGGCAGCCCCAGAGTGACTCTGGACTTGTGTTTGCGGGGTTTTGTTTTGCTTGTAGTACAAGGACCATTTTCTGCTGATCTGCTTTTTTTAAAAAACAACTAAAATAAATTCGCTCCTGGCTTTATCCACTGAGCCCTGATTTAAGCACTTCTCTGGCCCAGATGAGCACCAGTGGGGCACTGGCAGGCAGAGATGCTTGGGCCCCAGGCCCCAGGCCCCCCACTCCTACACCCTGCCTGCCCTCCATCCCTGGTCTGCGCCTGGGAAGCGTGGTTTTACCCCCCACCCCCCACTCCGATTCCCACCTTCCTCATGCCACAGTTCACGAAGGAGCCGCGGCCTGGCCGGGTGGGCCGGTCCACCACGACGCCCTCTCGGAACTCAGACTCCTCGTCCTGGCGCACGTGGTGTGGGCTGTCCAAGGGGTTCAGCAGCCCTGTGGGGGGGAGGGGCCAGGAGTCTGGGCAGTGCAAAAGCACATGGCGGTGTAGCAGGGAGCCCTGGCCCAAGGTCCAGCTCTGCCACAGGCCTGCTGCTTGCCACCAGACAGGCCTGCTGTGCCTGGGCCTGTTTTCCCCACCCTACAGCAATTTCTCAGGGTCTGGGGATGATCCATGGGAAACGGGGGTCAGACCCCCCCCCCAAGCCTTACCTGCAAACTGTAGATCCTGGTGCTTGGGAAAGAATGCCTTTCTTAGGTACCTAGTAAAGGACATGGATCTTAGGAAGTTCCCAGGGAGGCCACCTTCTGCCTGACCTGCCCCTCGACCTCCCCACCCTCATGCTCAGGAAGTCTGTCCTTCACCCTCTTACTGTGGACACTCCAGGTACTGCAGAATCCGGGCCAGCTGCACGCACGCCTGCCCCTTCTTGCCAACTCCCCTGAATTCCCCTTCCACAGTCCTAGAGAGAGAAAGATAGGGCTCAGGGGCCTACTGTGTTCCCTTCCAGAGCTCATCCACCCAATCTGACCGTTGAGTGGGCCCTGCTTTGCACCTCCACCCATCAGGGTTACCATGGGGGCATTCCAGGCAGGGTTTTCAGCCCAGGCAAGCCCAGGCCTCCCCTTCTCCACGAGCCCCAGCACCCCTCAGGCTGGCCCCTCACTTGGCATCTTGGCCCTCTTCATCAAACACCACAATCTCATCCACACGGAAGATAGCGCAGGCTCTGGCAATCTGGCCAGCCAGGTAGGTGCGAAGCTCGGGCGACTGTGCGTTGTCAAGAATGGAGCCAGGCAAGGCCACGCTCAGAGTGTAGGGCCGTCCTGGGCAGGGAAGGGGTGTTCCTGGTCAATCTGAGCAGCCAGGCCCATGCTCTCCCCTCCCTCCTCTGTCCCCAAGGCCCAGGATTAGAAAATCTTCCTTCGGGGAGGCATTTTGAGTTTACCAAAATAGATCCAACTCCCCTCTCTGGGCCTCAGTCTCCCCAGAGGAAAATGGATCAGTGTTCCATAAGGCTCCCATGAGCAGGGTGGACCACTGGGCAAGGCTGGGGAGCAGTTAGAGGCACTGAACTCAGTTTCCATTCTGCCTCCACCCTTTACTGTCTCAGTTCTCCAGCTGTCCAGATGGGGATAACAATGACAGCTATTATCTATTATCAGTGTCTTTTACATGTGCACATCTACCCAATAACCCTAGGAAACTACGGTCACCAAGAAGTGGGGAACCTGCAGCCCAGGGGTCAAATACGTGGCCCAAGGTCACACCAAAGGCAGAACAGCTGAGATGTGGACTCGGGCCGTGTGGCCCCAGAGGGACAACCATACCCCCTTTCTGACTTATCCAAAGGGAGCCACAGGAGACAATGCCCATAAAGGGCTTCCCTGGTGTCTGAAACTGCGATATGCTCAGTTGCTGTCCCTACTGTCACCATCATTACTGGTAACCACTGGGCATACAGGGTATGACAGGGCCTCCTGACACTCCCGCGCTTCAGGTCTGCCTGGAGGAAAAGCTAGTTTGTTAGGGTAGATCTGCATGCACAAATCCAGGACATAATGCAAGGTGGGAAAAACCAAGTCCAGAAGCACATGGATAAAGTGGTCTCACTTTAAAAAAACTGTGTCTCTACATCTCTCTACGTGTATTTAAGTGCATATACATAACATGGCGTGGAGAAACTTTCACTGCAGTGTTCACTGTCTTTTTCCTTTCCTCTTTATAGTTTTCTGTATTGTTTGGGTGTTTTTGTTTTAAGCACAGATAATTTAATGAGAAAACAAGAGCACTCAGCCATGGCTGGCATAAGTCAGTGGATTGAACGCAGGCTGTGAACCACAGGGTCGAAGGTCTGATTCCCAGTCAGGGCACATGCCTGGGTTGTGGGCCAGCTCCCCAGTGGGGGCCACATGAGAGGAAACCACACATTGATGTTTCTGTCTCTCTTTCTCCCTCCCTTCCCCTGTCTATAAATAAATAAATACATAATTTTTTTTAAAAAAGAGCACTCAAAGTAATTAAATGAAAATGCAATTAAAACACAGAAAGTACTCAATAAAAAATAACTATCATTACAACAATGGGGTTCTGGAGGCATAAAGTTATATGTGATGCTTACCATCCTCAGGCCTGAACCCACCTGAGTAGGAGGTTAGGGCTCAGTTTTCTGGGCCTCTCTCCATCTCTGGGCCTCAGTTTTTCCATCTAGACAAGATGTCTAGACCCACTGGTCTCTAAGGTTCCTTCCAGATACCATGTGCTCTACCTCCCCCTCCCCTCTGCTCACCCCGGTCCTCCCTCTGCACAGCTGCCTCCTCCTCCTGCTGGCGCTTTGCTTCTTCCTCCTGCACCCGCTGCCGCTCCAGTTTTTTTGTTAGCTTAAGATCCTTCCACTTCTTCTTCTCCTCTTTCTCTGGGTAAGAAGACATCCCAAGTGGCAGAGATGAGAGGGACTTGGAGGGAAAGGGTCCTGGCGCAGTCCAGGAGGCAATGCCCTCTCAGTGAGGTCAGGGTTTCCACTCAGGTCAGGCCAGCGTGGGAGCCTCCCAGGGTTTCTGAGCCCCTCCTTCCGTCTTGGTGCTGAGACCCACAGGGAGCAAATCTGGTGGCTTTCCCCAAAGTTTAACTGTGCGCTGCTGCAGTGGCCTGAGGAAGGGTGAGCAGAGACACTTCCCATAACCCCTAGCCTCTTACTTACTCTGTTGCTTCCATTTTCTCCACTCGACCCTTCGGCCGTGTTCACCCTAGAGGAATAGGAAGAGGTACAGGAGTGAGACCGAATGGTCACATTTGAGAGGCGGCCCCACTTGCTGCTGGGAATCCACACACAATGCTGCCCCAAGGGAGCATCGGGAGGTCAGGGACTTGCTGTACCCCAGTGCCTGGGACCAGGCCTGGCACATAGTAAGCACTCAATAAATTGCTGAATGAGTTCCCACTGGAGAGAAGTGGAAACTGAAGCTCAGGTAGTAGTTAGAAGAGATATGCCACCAAAATGCTCGGGATTGAGAGGAGGGTCCCACCTCCTGAATCCAGGCCCCCCACAGGGGGTTTGGGCAATGGGTCACCTGACGGTGTCCCGGCTCTGACTCAGGCCCGGGCTCCTACCTCTAGTTCTCATTTCGGCAGAGGCGCGCGCAGCCACACGCCCGCTACACCTTAGGACTTCCGGCCTCGGATCAGCGACAATCAGGCAGCGGGAGACACATCCCGGCCCAGCCACGGGCCTCCACGAGGTTCGTCCTCAGGCCACCACCCCCTGTTCTGCCCCAGGAGTCCTACCTCCAGCCACCTACCGGGCCACAGGGCCGCTTCCTCCCGCGCTCCGCCATGTTTGCCACAAGCTGTCGGCCACGCCCTGCCAATCAGACTCACTCCTTCCGGCCACACCTTCCCGGAGTTGTCCAATCGGAGAGGCAATGGCGCGGGGGGTGTGTCCTAGTCTCCAAGGGAGCAGGAGAGAAGCCGGAGTCTTACTCCGCAATTGGGGAAGCGCTAGCGTAAAGGTTGGAGGTGCTCACCGCCCGCCGTTGTCCAGGTAGGCAGCAGCTCGTGTGCTGTCCTGGGCCCCTGGATCACTCGAGACGCCCTCCGGCGCTCCGGTAGAGCGCGATACTGAAACCTCAGCTTAGTTTTATACGTGGGGACTCTGGCCTAGAATTTGAGTGTGATTCAAAGCTGGAAATTACCTGGGAGATCATTTAATCCAAGTCTTTTATAGGTTCGTTCATTTACTCTTTTTTAAAAAAGATTTTATTTTTAGAGAGGGGAAGGGAGGGAGAGAGAGAGAGAAACATCAGTGTGTGGTTGCCTCTCGCACACCCCTTACTGGAGACCTGGCCCACAACCCAGGCATGTACATGCCCTGACTGGGAATCAAACCAGCGACCCTCTGGTTCGCAGGCCTGCACTCAATCCACTGATCCACATCAGCCAGGGCCATTTACTCTCTTTTAATTAATAGACTTTATTTTTTAGAAATTTAGTTTTACTGAAAGTCGAGCACATAGTACAGAGTTCCCATTTACCTTTTACCTTTATCCCCTGGTTAACATCTTGCCCTAGTGTGTGCATTTGTTAGGGTTAATGAGCAAATATTGATGCATTATTATTAAGTTCACTGTTCACATTAGGGTTCACTTTGTGTGGTACATTCTATGGGTTTTGACAAATTCGTAATGTCGGAAACCTGCCATTACAGTACAGCACAGAATGGTTTCAGTGCCCGAAAACCCTCCGGGCTCCCCCTATCCCCTCCCACGCTCCTGGCGAGCACTCATCTTGTTTTACTGTCTCTATAGTTCTGCCGTTTCCATCACATCACATAATTGGAATCAGACGGTATGCAGCCTTCTCAGACTTACTTCTTTCATTAAGCAACATGTATTTAAGTTTCTGCCAAGTCTCAAGATTGGGTAGCAAATTTCTTTTTGTTGCTAAATGCTACTCTGTTTATCTATTCACTGTTTGAAGGATATTTGGTTGCTTTCAGTTCTGGGTAATTACGGATGGAGCTGCTTTCAACATTCATGTGCAGGTGACATGAATTTTCAGCTCATTTGGGTTCAATAGGTAGAAGCCTGACTGCTGAATCTTACAGTGAGGTTATATTTAACTTTGTAAGAAACTTCCAAATTGTCTTCCAAAATGGCTGTAGCATTCTGCATTCTGACGGCAATGAATGAGATACACTTTCTTTCTTCAGTTAGTAAATTTGAGTCGACATTTATTTGATCATACAGTATTTATTTTGAGGCAAGAACTCCCTGTGCTCACCACCGGGAACACCATGGTAAGGAAAGTAGATACTGATCTGGAGCAGACACTGACCTCTCTAGTAGAGGAGAGATTCATTTCTAAGTCAGTTCGTGTGTTTCCATTACGGGGGTTGTGTTATTTCGCCATTTGCCCCTAAGAGAAGATCTAGGGGTGTCTGAGGTTACTCAGTCTAAGATTCGGAACCTGTGTAGAGTCACAGACTTGAGTTCTGGGCAGATTTGAGATTGTCCGTAAACTTCCACGTTCACTGTGGTCTGCACCGGATCCTGAATTTTACCAGGGAAAGTGTCTGGTTACAACCCACTGAACTGGTGTTTAATTTTTCTACCATCCTTTGCCTTATTGAGAATAAAAACTGTTTCTTTCCTGAGCCTTGCACTTGCGGACTTCAGCTAGACGACAGGATATAAACTTTAAAGAAATTGTCACCATAGCTCATGCTTGGGGAGTCTTGGTGACTGGTGCTGTGTAAGCCACACAGAGAGTTTGCCTGAGTGCCTGATGGTATCATTAGGGACCTGGGAACTGCAGACTGAGAGAATTTGCCGTATGGTCCCTGCCTGCTTTCACTGCGGCAAATTAAGCTTTGAGCCTTGCATCTGGAGGTCTTCCCAGCTGGCAGCCCTACAGATGCAGAGCCTGGTTCGTGGTTTGCTCTGATCATTGACCTTCGTTTTCATAAATCTTACCAACTACTGATGTTACGGAATTGAAGCTGTATAGTCAGTCATTCTACTGACTCGAGTTCTAAGACTCCAGCAGACCACCTTAGAGCCCTTGGCATGCAGGTTCTGAGACGATAGGACTGTTTTAGCTTACTTGTTAGGTGGACAGGGAAATGTTTGTAGTGGGGCCAGTTTAAAGATTTTATTTATCTTTAGAGGGGAAGGAAAGGAAAGAGAGAGAGAGAAATATCAATGTATGGTTGCCTCTTGTGTCCCCTGCTGGCAACTGGCCTGCAACCCAGGCATGTGCCCTGACACTGGGAATCAAACTGCAGTTGTTTGTTTCACAGGCCCGAGCTCAATCCACTGAGCTACACCAGCCAGGGGTGAACTTTACTTTCTTAGGATGGATTTGGGGAACTACTGGGGCCCCCAGCTTCTTGAATTGTACCTTCTCGATCAATACGCCTTTCCTTACTGTGGCCCCTTTTGCATTTCAGAGTGTTGGGCACACTCTGAGTGTGTTGGGCACAAGGACTCCTGATGGTAACACAGAGAGTGAGGTCTTGGAGGCCCAGGTGTGCACAGGGCCTTCACACCCTCTGCGGGTGCGCCGCCTCCCTGCACACTGGCGAGCTCACGGATGCAGAAGCTCCTTAGGACTCATGGGTTATGGGGGTTTTGTTACAGATGCACCGTCAGTTGAATCCTTGGCCATGTGACCGAACTCAATGTCCAGTCCCTCTCCCTCCCGGGGCTGGGGGGCCCTGGGATTGGGACTGAAAGTTCTGACCCCTCACCCTGTGTTCAGATGGACTTGTTATGAATAACAAAAGACATTCCTATCACCCAGTAATTTCCAAGGGGGTTAGGAGCTCTGTGCTCCTAAACCAGTTGCAAAGCCCTAATGTATGTTATTTTATAGGACAACGTATGCCATTCAGCCCACCTAATTAGAGGCATAACAAAACCCATGGGCTTGCTATGCAAATGCAACTTCAGGACAAGTCTCGGGTGCCACCTTCCCAACCGTGCGGGAGCTGTCGCTGCTTCCCGCTGGCAGTGCCCACCCCCCAGATCAAACCCCACTCAACCTTTGCCAGCTGGATAGCCGTGGCGGAGTCGCCTCAGCTCCAAAGTGGGTTCCTCGGTGGTAAAGTAGAGAAGCCATCCCTGTCTCAGTGGGCTGTTTAATGAGATACTGGGCACCCCCGTGCCTGGCATGTGAGGGCACACGGTGGAGACTGGCTACCTCCCTCTCCTGACTGGGCGGGGCCTGGCCTTCCTGTCCGGGACTCTGACCCCCGTGGGATGGGACCATCTGTGTCTTCCCCCTTGGACACTCCGGCCAGGCCCCCGTCTCCTACACACCGCCCCCAACCAGTAACACATACCATCTGAACCTTGCTTCTAGGTACTGCCATTGACAAACTGACTCCGAACCAGTCCCACGTCCCCGCCTTCCTCTGGGGCCTCCGTTTCACTCTCCAAAACACACTTGTACGAACAGGGGCTTGGATTTGAGGTTCACTGAGAGGCCTTCCCACTGGGCTAAGTTCCCATTGGCAGTCAGTACCCGTGTGAAGCACAGTGAAGCCAACAGAAGTTTGAATAACTTCAAATTTTATTATGGGCACAAAGTACTGGCTGCATCCCAAGGTCAAGTTTAGATAAGGAGAGGGAGGGTTGCCGGAGCCTTGGCTGGGGCCGGTGCAGGGCTGGGGTCAGAACTGGGACTCCCGGCCAATACACTGTTGGGCTCTGCCCAGTGACTCCCAGCCAAGTCTGGCGAGGCCAGAAGGGACCCAAGAGCCTACAGCATGACCGAGGGAGGGGGAAGGGAGAGACCCAGGTCAGGCCTCCCTTACCTCCGCCAACAGGGTGGTGGGCACCATGGGGGCGTGCTCCTGACTCCTCCAGGACTCAGAAGAAAGGCTCTCCCCTGGGGACATTCTGTGTCGCAGAGGAGGGGTTCACCAGTACCATCTATCCTCAACATGAGAATGACTAAATCTTGGACAAGGAGCCCTGCAGAGCATGCAGGGACCAACCAGGCGAGGCCGAGAGGGTGATGTCAGGCCCTGAGCTCATCCTTCCACTCCCGAAGCTTCTGGTCCATGGCCTGGAGGGTGGATTCATTCTGTGCCAACACAGACCGGTCCCCGTTTCTCCCTGCACTGCCAGCGGGCCTCGGGAAGCTGGGGGAGGCCTTCCCACCCCCAGCCCTGCCCTTTACCTTCGCAAAACAGAAGCGGATATAGTGGTCAAACTGCTGCTGATGCTGGGTGCTGTAGAAGACAGAGACCGGGAGGGCCACCAAGCCCTGGGGAAGAAGAAGCCCAAGTCTCAGCAGGGCCTCACAGCCCAGCAGGCCTGGGCTCCTGGGGGCACAGAGGTTCCCAGATGGTGCGGGGGAAGGAGAGTTGCTTCAGTGCGGCACCTCCCAGGGGTATGTCAAGGTCAGAGGGAAGGAATCCCAGGATGTCATCCCAAGTCCCTCCTGTGTACAGACAGGACATGGAGGCCAAGGGAGGGGTCAGGGCAGAGCCAGAGAAGCAGTAAGCCTTAGAATCCTGTCTCCAAGGCAGATGACCTCGTGGCGAATGGGCCAACTCCTCACTGTACGGATGGCAAGATCAAGGCCCTGAGAAGCCAGGAATTCCTTCCTCCAGCCCACTCGGCACCTCTGTGCAAATTAAACAGGCTCCCCATTCCTTGAAATGGGTGCGACCCTGTAGCAGGCCCGTGGCAGAAGCTGGGCTGCGTTTTGGCCCATCAGCACCCAGGAGCAACGTGCAACCTGAAAAACCACACGCACAGGCCCTGGCACCGGCCCAGCCCACCTTTTCCTTGATCATCCACTTGATGAAGCGCCTGTCGAAGGGCTCGTCCTCAGCACCAGGCAAGTCAGGAATCTTGTTCCCTGGGGGGCAGAGGCCATGCTGAGCTTGGGGCAGCCCCTCCCGCCCCCCCCACCCCGCCCTGACCAGCCGGTCCCACACACTGAAGTCCGAGATGTCTGCCATGAAGAAGTAGGTGCCCTGCGGGTTCATGGGCCGCAGGCCTACCAGCTGCACACTCCGCACCATGTGGTCACGGCAGCGCTGCATGTCCCGTGGGAGCTGCACGAAGTAGCTGCTGGGCTGGCCGAAGTGCTGGTGCTCCCGCTCAAAGCTCTGGGCTACTGCGGCCTGCGGGGGAGGGGAAGGACCAGCAGGTCGGGCTAACCGGCCACTGGGGCCGGCCCCTGGCCCTCCCCTTCCCCCTCAGTACGGTTCGGGGACCCCCTCACCTGCGCCTGCGTGGGACAGTGATAGACACAGTTCTGGTGCACCGTGCGCAGGTGCCTCAAGAGAGTGTCTGGGCCTAGGACCCAGCCCACCTAGACCAGAAGCACAGGTAGCAAGTGAAGCCTTTTAGGGCCTGGCCAAAGGCTGCCCCTATTCCCAGGCCACCTTTCCTGCCAAGGGTCACAGGGCGTAGGGTAGGGGTGGTCCCTCCAACCTTGTTGACTCACCTTCCAACCGGTGACACTAAAGGTCTTGCCAGCGCTGCCGATGGTCAGGGTGCGTTCCCACATGCCAGGGAGGCTGGCTGCCCGGGGCCAAAGAGAGCAGCTGCTGGGATGGGGGCAAGGGGGCGGTGGGGGGCGCTAAACCCCAGTGGGCACTCCTGCTCTTCGCACTCGGAACTCTGACTCCCGCTAAGCTGTTCACGGGACTTATTCCAGATTGGCCCCATGACAACCCTGGGGGCAGGTGCCCCTGTGCCCCTATCTTCTTAGAGAGAGTAAGCCACTGCTCCGAGTCACCTGCCCTGTGTGGCTCCAGACCCCTCGGCCTGCACTGACTCCAAGATCGGGCGGGGAGCGGGGGTGCCCGGGCCAGCTGGGCTCACCGATGCTGATGTGCTGGCACCCATCGAAGACCATCCACTGGTAGACCTCGTCGCTGACACACAGCACGTCATGCTGCTGGCACAGGCGGGCCACCAGCTCCACTTCTGCCCTGGAGAACACCTGCAGGGACCGTCCCCAGACAGAGAGGCCTGCTCAGACAAGCCCAGTGCTAAGGTCTTTTCCGCCCCCCTCCTATTGTATCCCCACCACACTGGCCCCGTGAGGTTGGTCGTGAGGCGAGAGAAATACATACACTTTGGACCCTGCCCTGGCTCCCGGCGGCACGGAGATCCTGAAACCTTTGGGAGTTCCTAAGGCTCCAGAGCGCTAGAGACGCCTTTCACTCTAATGAGGCACCTCTGAGTGGGCTCCTGGCGGGCTGGTCACCACAGAGACCAAGCTGGAATTAGAAGCTTGGGGTTTCCGGCCTGACTTCTAGGAAGGGGAGACGGACTGGAAATGGACTTAATGATTGGTCAGGCCTACACGATGAAGCCTCCGTAAAGTCCCAACACTGCGGGGTTCGGAGAGCTGCTGGTCGGTGAGCACATCCACCCGGAGGGTGATGCACCCGGTCTCCCCAGGACGGGCTGCTGTGCTTCAGCTGCTCCCAGACCTGGCCCTGTGGGTCTCCACTTGCTCCTTCAGTAAAGTGGGAAACTTGAGTGTTTCCCAGTTGTGTGAGCCACTCTAGCCAAGTTATTGCACCCAAGGAGGGGGTTGCGGGAAGCCGAGATTCGCCACTCATTGGTCAGAAGCACTGGTGCATTGGTGACAACTAGACTGGAGACTGGCATCTGAAGTGGGCTGGGGGCAGTCTTGTGGGACTGAGCCCTTGACCTGTGAGATTAGATGCTATCCCCAGGAAGACAGGGTCAGAAGTGAATTAAACTGAGTTGATTGTCAGACCGCCAATTGGTGTTACAGAATTGCCTGGCGTGGGGAGAAACCCTACACACCTGGTGTCAGAAGGTTTGTGTGACTGTGTGGGAGACACACGGGGAGACTGGGTTGTCCTTCCCATGGGTTTGTCATGTTCCCATTTTACAGATGAGAAAACACCCCAAGAGGTGAAGTCACTGTCTCAGGGTCATGCTCATGGGGAAGTGAGTACGGAGGCACCCGGCCGCTCCACCACCTCCCCTCATACTTCTCCTGGGGACTGCTGCCCCTGCCCCGGAGGCCTCTGGGAGCCTGGTCCTCACAGCTCATCACAGGTAGCCCTCCCACTTCACCAGGAAAGAAACCAAGGCCCCCAGGCAGCAAATCGGTGACAGAGTGGGGACTTGATCCCAGTTTGGAGGGGTCCCTAGAAGGAGGTTTGTCAGGTACCTTTCCCAGGGGGTTGTTGGGTGTGTTGAGGACTAGCATTTTGGTGCGAGATGTGAACTTGCTGGCCAGCTCTGTGGGGTCCAGCTGCCAGTTGCTGGAACCCAGCTCCCCATTCTGGGTGGGGGTCTGCAAGAGGCAGGGCAGTACTTACCTGATATTCAGGGCTGGGGATGGGACCCTCCACCCCTCCACACCCCCCCCAGACATCTGTCCCCACCGTCTCCCCATCCTGGAGAAACTGGCCTCCTTCACTTCCTTCCCCCTTCCCCACCTCCCAGGCTCCAAGGCAGCACACTTCTTGGACCCCTCTGCCCACTTGCACCCATCTAGCATTCTCACCGGCTTCAGGGGCACAAACACAGGGCAACCCCCCGCCATCAATGTCATGGTATTGTAACAGTCAAAAAAGGGCTCGATGATGATGACCTGGTACAAGGGTCAGATTAGCTGGGGTTGGTATCACCCTGACCCCTCGCCCCCACCCAGCCCAAGCCTTGCCCCACTCACCTCATCTCCTTCGTCCACCAGGGCCTGGAAGACTGTGAACAGGGCCCCATACGCACCCACAGTCACCAGCACATCCTTGAAAGGGTCTATCTCCTGTCCCAGCAGCTTCCCAAAGAAACTTGCCAAGATCTTTGTCAGTGGTGGGTAACCCTGCCGGGACAGCTGGGGTCAGCCCCCTGGCTCAGCCTGGGCCCACCCTCCTGCTCAGCAGCACCCCGGCAATTCCAGCACCAGTGGCAGGCCTGGGGCAGAGCCAGCTCCTGCGGGGTGGTCTCTCCACTTCCCCCACAACACTTGTCACGGGCCCTGTGCTGCTGTGCCAGGCCCTGTGCCCAGGGCTGGGTAGCCACACAGAGTGTGTGCCTTCACGGAGCACAGCCCAGCACAGCCCAGCACAGCCGCAGAGCGGGGGCAACGTGACACCTCGAACGCCTCTTTTAAGTTGAAGGAGCACATTCACGTCATCGGGTCATCCCAGCAGCCTTGCAATGAAGGCACCGTTTCATCCCCATCACCTGGCGGGCAGAACCACGGAGACCCCCGAGGGGAGGAAATGACTTGCCCCAGGTCACGCACAGCAGAGGTGCAGGAACAGGGTTTTATGCCGCAGCTTTGGAAAGACCCCGCTTGGAGAGGAAGATTGGACCTGCATGCTCGTTTGCTGAGGAAGCTTAGAAAACACTCAAGGTGAAGCCTGGTGACTGAAACTGAAGATGGAGAGTTGAACTAAATAACTCACTGAGCCAGATTTGACCACATAAAAATGAAAAGTATCTGTACAGAGAAATATACCATGAGCAAAGTTAAAAAACAAAGAGAAAAAACGTTGCAATGTAAGGAAAGCAGGTAAGGTATTTAATATATAAAGAGCTCTTACAAAGCAACGAGATAAAGATACCCACCCAAATGAAAAATGAGGTAGGTCACGAAAGAGAAAGTGCTGACGCCCGACGTGCATACAAAAGAATAACAATTGAAGCAAAGCAAAGTAACATGGAAATATCGCTGTTTTATAAGAAAGTAAGAGCCCTGGCTGGTGTAGCTCAGTGGATTGAGCACGGATCGCGGTTCGTTTCCCCACCTGGGCACATGCCTGGGTTGCAGGCCAGTTCCCAGCAGGGGCCAGTTCCCAGCAGGGGATGCACCAGAAGCAACCATACATTGATATTTCTCTCCTTCTCTCCCCTTCCCTTCCCAAGATAAATAAATTAAATTAAAAAAGAAAGAAAGTAATGTCACTATTAGCAGATATTAAAAAGACTGCCATGGCCCGTGGTTGGCAAGAGTGAGACAAATGATTCCTCTCTTTCCCCCAAAGAACGAACATTCCTGCCAGCTCAGAGGCCGGTCTGTCGGTAGGAATGCGAAAACCTTAGTGGAGGCGCCCTGACAATACCTATCACATGCCTAACTGCGTCCTGGCTTTGATCATCTAGTTTTGCTTGTAGAGATTTATCTGAGAGGAGCACTCACATACATGTACAGAGATATACTCACGGGGCTGTTCATTGTGACACTACTTGTAATAATAAGATATCCAAGCCAGTCCAGCAGAGCAGGGCTGGTTAAGTAAACCATGGCATCGCCAGGCAATGGAATACTATGCAGCCATTAAAAAGAACGAGGCTATTGTGACATGGAAAGTTGTCCCTGACATGCTGTTTAGTACAGAATGTTATTTATGGTATGAGTCCATTTGCGTTACATGCAACTCTTGGGTAAGTATATATGCATGCGTGTGTGTTTTTTATATAAGAATTTTTAAAAGTTAAAAGTTTAAGTCTGAACACTTTAAGAAAAGAAGCAGATTGTCAGCAGGGTTGTCTATGGATGACGGAACTAGAGGGAGCATCGCTCCTGACAACTCTGGTGCATACCAACGTTTAAGAACCATTGGTCTGCTCCTAGGGTTGGCAAATGTTTACAGTGTGAGCCTTTACAGAAAGGGTTTGCATTGAGAGTCAAATCACAATAATTGCATGTCTCCCTCAGTAGCTTGTCTTTCATGGCTTGGCGTAAGTGTCGCCTCCGCCAGGAAGTCTTCCCTGCTCTCCCCTTCTTCCTGCCCCATTCTCCATCACAGCATATCTGCTGACCTTGCTTTCTGTTTCGTTTCTGTGTGTTTATATTTTTGTCTTCCTTTCCCCAGACTATGGGCGGTCCCTGAGCCTGAAACAGAGGACAGGCTCAGTGATCACTGAACTACAGCTAGACGGAATTCCCTGGGCTCTGCCCCTCGCTCCCCGGGGCCTCCTCAGAGGCCTGTGTCCAGGGGCCTGAGTGCAGGTGGGAGACTCACAAATCCCCTGGTGTACTGGTTGAGCATGAAGTCGCCGGTGACAGCTTGCCGAAAGGCTTCCACGGCGAAGTCTGGAGGCGGGAAGTCGGGGAAGCCTTGTCCCAGATTCACGGCTTCATACTGAGAGGTCCACCGGGACAGCTCCACCCTGTGAGATGCAAGGAATGGAGGGCTGGCAGCAGCCCGCCCCTCTGCCCCACCCCGCACTTCTGTCTGCGTCCAGGGCAGGCCAGCAATGCCCTGGACTCCTTCTAGAAACACTGGATGACGAGCATCTGCCCTGGCCTGAAGATCTGAGTCAGGCTCATAACTGGTCCCATGCTTTTCAGTTCGGTAGGCCAGGCACTGTGCCAAACGCATGTCTCAGCCCAGGGGCTTTCAGATGTTTCGACCGTGACCCACGGTAAGCAACCATCTTTATGGCACAAAGCCTGCAGAGCAGACGTGCGTCACAGGCTCCTTTGTGTGATCTAGTTCCATTCCAGGCTGTTCCTGTCCTGTCCAATCCTTTAGAAGTACTTGTTGAGCAACGCCCCCACAGTGGGTTTCACGACCCATGCATGCACTTGTCAACTCCAGTCTGAAATGCTTGCTCCCGTAACCTTCCCGATGTCTACAAGGTACATCCTATTCCAGAGTCCCAGTGGGGATGGAGAAGCTGGGCTTGGAGGGACCTGTCCAGCTAGTGCCTGGCACGACCAGCCTGTCATTCGACGGCTGTCTTCTGGAGCAAAGCTGATGCTCTTGATCATTACCCTGGAGAGACCGGGGCCCCACCAGCCCAGCCATCTGCCTTCTCTGGCCCTTGCCAGCCTTTCTTCTGGGCCTGCCTGGCGTCTGCCTCTTCAGCGAAACTGGGAGAGACGGGGAGAGGCTGGATGAGGAGGCCGGTGTGGGGCTGCAGGTCAGCTGGGGGCAGAGGACTCAGGCTTGGCCGAGTTGCATTTTCATGATGATAACTATTGTTATGTCCAGAGTCAGTCACTTTCTCCCCAGAGCTCCACAATGCCCCTGAAGACATAGGGAACTGCTGAGGCACAGAGAGGCCAGTGACCTGCCTAGAGTCACACAGCCGCTCCTGACAGTGCCGAGGGGCAAATTCCACTGGTGGTTAGTCCACGGCGGTAACTGGGACAGGGGCCCCACTCAAACACTGCAGAGACCGGCTGCCCCCCGGCCTGGGCCTGCAGGGTCCTAGTCCTCAGGCCGCACCACCCTGGGGTCAGCAGGAGGCTGGAGCCTCTTTCCCGCTGACTCTTGTGGCCTTGATCCCTACATTGCCCTCCTGCCCCATGCTTGCTCCCCAGCCGCACTGCCGCTCTGCCCTGCCTTTGCCCGAGACTTCGCATCTGGTGGCCTCTGTCCCCTCCACATTGGGGGTGGCTGGGTTCAAGAGCCCGCCAGGTCTGTGAGTCAAGAAGTACTCTTGCCGCCTCTCCCAGCCTCCGTCCTCATCATTCCCTGTTCTGAGTTGCACTTCACCTTGTCTGCAAAACGAACCACCAGGCTGCCCAGCCTGCCTCCGGGAAGGACAGAGGGTGGTGGCCTGAGGAGCAGGCCCTGGAGCCCCAACGTGGACCTCAGCTGGTCTCCATGGGGCATTTGGGCCTGGCTCCCCGGTCCCAAACGCCACGGAACATTGAAGAGGATGCGGGGGGCACATATTCACAAAACACAAAGTACTGTTCGTGAGGGGAGCTTAAAAGAAATGATCGCCCCGTGTTTTGTAAAAAACAACAGCCAACACTGTATTTATTTCATTTTTTCCAATGCCATTATCCCCCCTACAGTACCTCCCACCTCCACGCCCAGCCCCTGCGATCACCACCTGTGTCCACGGGTTCTTTGTTTCTTTTTGTTCAGTCCCCACCCCCTGTGCTGTCAGCCTGCTCTCTGTCTCTGCGTCTGTCCCTGTTTTGTCTGTTAGTTCAGTTTGTTCATTAGATTCTACGTATGAGTGAGATCACATGGTACTTGTCTTCCTCTGACTGGCTTATGTCACTCAGCATGGTGCTCTCCAGGTCCACCCAGGCTGTCACAAAGGGTAAGACTTTTGTCATTTTTACAGCCGAGGAGTAGTCCAATGTGTGACTGTACCACAGCTGTTTTATGCACTTGGCCCAGGCCAAGGTCAGGTGTAGACCGGAAGGTTGTAGAACCTTCCTCGCACATCCTGCCACGGCACCCGTCCTATCACCGGGAACCATGGGCACCTACCCTTCTGCACTGACAAGTCAGCGAAGGAACGAAATTCACCTCGGCAGAGGCCGGGCGGAGAGCCGCCTGCCGCTTACCGTCTCGGCTCGGCTTGTCTTACTCCACAGTGGGTGTGGAACAGTCCCCGGAGGCCTGTGCCTGGGTAACGGCTGTTGCTGTCACACTGTATTTTGTCTCATCCCCTCAGAGCCCGTTAGACGGAGAGATGACTATCTCCATTTTGCAGCTGGCGAGCAGGGGCTCTGGGCAGGGGTCAGTGACCCCAGGGCCGATGCCAAGCGGGGTGAAGCTGAGATTGAACCCAAGCCTGCTGCTTTGGGTCTTGCCTCTTATGGGCGGCGGCTGCCAATCTGACCACCCTGGGTACCACTGAGTTTCTACAAACCCGGGGACCACCAGCTGTGTCCTCCCCATGTCCGAGGAGACACCCCCACACCTCCCCGGCCCTGCCCAGCTCACCATGGATTGTAAGCAACCTTGTCCAGCCTTCGAGCCTGCAGCTGTTTGGCCATGGTGGGCTGGAGACAGAGCAAATGGAAGGTCAGAGTGGAGGAATTGCCATGGTCTGGGTCCCTAGAAAGAGAGGCGGCAACCTCCCTCACTCTAACATAGCCCAGCCCACCCACGCCCGGGGGAGGAGGCGGAGATCCCAGAGAGCAGGGTTCCGGCCCCTCCCCCAGCCTGGTCCCCCAGGTTCTGAGATACAGCCCCAGTCCTATCAGGTTTCTGTCTGACTCCCTGAAGGCTTGGAGCTGAAGAGGCGGGGCAGAAGGCTGGGGGAGGCAGGGAGCAGGGAAAAGATGGGGGGGGCGGGGGACAGTAACAGCAGCAGCTTCGGTGTGCAGAGGCTGCTGTTCAGTGTGGCTAGGCTGTTCCATTCATGCTGGGTGACACTGGACAGGTGATCTAGCTGCTCCTGGTCTCAGTCTCCCCATCGGTATATAATAGGAGCAGGGGTTTTGGGGTCCCTCAGCAGCTTTGTAAGTCTCGTGGCTGGCAGGTCTCTAATGTTCTGATTTCCTTGGCCACCTGCTGTGGCTGACAATGGACCCTGGTTCTCACAGTCTCTGCTCCCACAGCATCCCTATCAGAGGCGACTGTGATAATCTGCATCTGAAGATGAAGACATGGGGTTCAGAGAGGTTCAGGGACCTGCCCAAGTTCAGAGGAGGAGACAGGACCCTGGCCAGGGTGGCAGCAACAGCAGGGTTGCCAGCACCAGGCCCCCGTCCCCAGTGGCCCGGGGACTATGTGTATATGGCCCACGTTCTTCCAGAGCCTGGGGATCCTGCCGATGCAAGCAATTTGAAGAGAGCCCCGCACGGGGACTGGCGCCTCATGGGAGCTTTGCTGACATTCTCTCCCTTCACTGAATCCCCGGTGAGTATCGCCAGGCCAGGCACTCAGTCTATATCAAAAGAATTTAATTTTGAGCCCTGGCTGGTGTGGCTCAGTGGACAGAGCACCAGTCTGTGAACCAAAGGGTCACCGGTTCACCTCCCAGTCAGGGCACTTGCCTGGGTTGTGGGCAGGGTCCCCAGTAGGGGGCAAGTAAGAGACAACCACACATTGATGTTTCTCTTCCTCTCTTTCTCCCTCACTTCTCTGCTCTAAAAATAAATAAATAAATACTCTTTAAAAAGTTTAATTTTTTAAAAATGTACTGATTTTAGAGAAAGGGGGAGAGAGGAGGATAGAGAGAGAGAGAGAGAGACATCGATTTGTTGTTCTACTTACTGATGTATTCAATGGCTGATTCTTGTATATGTCTGACTGGATATCAAACCTGCAAATTTGGAGTATCGGGATGATGCTCTAACCAGCTGAGCTACCTGGCCAGGCCAAAAATAAAATGAGTCCTGACTGGTGTGGCTCAGTGGGCTTGGCGTCATCCTGTAAGTCCAGGAAGGCTGCCAGTTCGATTCCTGGTCAGGGTACGTGCCTGGGTTGCGGGTCATGTCTCGGGTTGAGGGCATATGAGAGGCGACCAATTGATATTTCTCTCCCTCTCTTTTTCCCTCCTTCCCCCTCCCTTTAAAAATAAATAAACAGAATATATATTTTTAAAGTTTAAAATGAGGGTGGTCCCTGCCAGGGAAAACCATGTTACTACCAAAATGTCAACCAGCAGTGATTATTTTTGGTTGGCTGGTTGGGTAACAGATGTTATTTTCCTCTCTTCCTTACAATCTTCTTATCTTCCAAATTTTCTTTTTCTAAAAATCTTTACTGATTTGAGAGAGAAACACTGATTCACTGTTGTGCCCACACACGCACTCACTGGTGACTGCCCTGTGCGCCCTGACAGGGAACCTCCGGCAACCTTGGTGTATCCAGACGGTGCTCCAACCAACTGAGCTACCGAGCCAGGGCCAAATTTTCTAAAGTAAATGTTTTATTTTATTTTTTAAAAAGATTTTATGTATTTACTTTTTAGAGAGGGGAAGGGAGAAGGAAAGAGAGGGAGAGAAAACATCAATGTGTGTGGTTGCCTCTTGTGTGCCCCCAGCTGGGGACCTGGCCTGCAACCCAGGCAAGTGCCCTGACTGGGAATCGAACCTGCAACCCTTTGATTCACAAGCTGGCACTCAACCACTGAGCCACACCAACCAGGGCTAAATGTTTTATTTTTATGATTAAGTATGTGGAGGGTTGGGGTGGGAAAGAGTAAAGGGGTACAGGGGCACAGAGAGAGAAAAAAGAGGCAAAAGAGTTTAGGAGGGAGATGAAAACAATGAGGGTACCCCAGAAACGTGGGACGTTCAAAGGAGTAACCTTCAAGTATGTCACACAGCAGTTAGACGCCTGCTTTTGGGCTTATGCGTAATGTACTCATTCAGCGAACGTTTGCTGAGTACTGACTGTGCACCAAACGGATGTGGGCGGGACACAGGGGGTGATGGGGAGGCACCAGCACCAAGCAACCATTCAGAGGCAGAGCTACAAGTTCTAGATTAGAGTCAAGGGCAAAGGGCCGGGGGGGGGGGGGGGGAATGCATTCAGGGTGCAATCAGGGAAGGCTTCCTGAAAGAGGTGGCTCGTGTGCAGGTTTAAAGCCAGAACCAAGCCAGATCCCAGAGGCCCTGGGTCATGGAAGTGGCAGCATGCACTTACAGTCTGGTGCAAGTGCTGGCTGAGTGAAGCTCCAGCCTTCTTTCTCCGGAGGGACCCCATCAGGTGCAAGCAGATGGCTGCGGAATTCCTGAACATGCCTCCCAGAGCCATGGGCCATCGACGACCTCTCGGTCGCAGAGCACCCTGGCCAGGAAATGGCTCTGAGCCCAGCACTTGAGTCCTCCACACACGGCTCTGATAACAGCAATAGTGACAAGGGCCGATCTTCACTGGGCAGCCAGCATGCGCCAGGCGTGGCGGTAGGTGCTTTGTTGCAGGGTTGTCCCCCAGGCCTCAGAACTACCTGGTGACACCCTCCCACCCAGCAACCCGGAGTGACCCTTTTAAAATGTAAATCACCTTGAATGGGGGAAAAATGATCCAGGTAAAGATCATGAATAGCCCCTAACACCACAGAGTCAACCCTACATTACATTCTGGCTCTGGAAACACACACACGCCACCTGCCAAAACAAAATCTAAACCAAGTGAGACCTCTGAGCACTAAGTAGCAAGGGACAAAAGACACCACAGAGGTGCAGTCCCCAGATGCGGACTGATGGAACCTCTGCAGAACAAGTGACCCTGTTCCTTCAAACAAATATAATGCAAGGTGGGGAGAAATGTCTGGGGCACCATATACTGAAACAGACCAAACAGACATACAGTTAAAGACGAATGTCTTGAAAAGCTGTGGAGGACTCGCTGCACCCAACTGACTACAGAAGCCACAGGGACTAAGAACGTGTGGCACCGGCGCAGGGACAGGCGTAGCATCAGTAGAACAGAACTGAGCGTCCAGAAATAGGCTCTCGCATTCGTGGCCAACTACTGTTTGATAAGATGTCCAGAAAGTTCCATAAGAAAAGAATGGTCTTGTTGACCATTTGTGTCAGGACGGCTGGATACCCACATGTAAAAGTATAAATTTGGATCCCTACCTAACACCATACACAAAAATTAACTCAGTGTGGATGATAAGCCTAAACGTAAAAACTGAAATTATAAAACTATAAGAAGAAAACAGGAACACACCGTTGTGACCTTGAGTTAGAAAACGGTCTCATCTGCAACGTCAAAAGCATGAGATGAGCAACAGAAGAAGAAATAGAGAACTTGGACTTCATCAAAATGAAAAGTTCGTGTTTCAAAGGGCACCATCAAGAAAGTGAAAAGGCAACCCACGGTATGGGAGAAAACATTTGCACATCATAAACTTGAACTTATCCATGGGCATATCAATGGCCAATAAGCACATAAAAATACGCTCAATATCAGCAGTCACTGGGGAAAAGTCACGTTGAGATGCAATGCAAACCCACTGAGACGGCTGCTACACGGAGGAGGTGGGGAATTATAAGTGTGTTGAAGATGCCGACATACCGGAACCCTTGTACGCTGCCCCTAGGCATGGGATGGAAAATACCCTAGAAGTTCCTCCAAATGTCAGACGTGGAGTTTGCCCTAGGCCCAGCAATTCCGCTCCCAGGTTTCTACCCGTGAGAAATGAACACGTGTCCTCGCAACAGCTCGTGCAGGTATATCCGTAAGCAGCATTATTCCTAACAGCCAAAAGGTGGGGAAAGCCGAAACGTCCATCAACTGATGACCAGAATGCGACAAATCCATATGCTGGAATATCGATAGGCAATAAGTGGGAATGGCATACGTGTTACAACATGGGTGGACTGTGAAGCATTACGCTGAGCAAGAGAAGCAGGTCACAAAAGACGGCAATTATATGGTTCCATTTCAAAGAAAGAGCCAAATCTGCAGAGACAGAGAGGTGACCGTGACTGCCGTGGACTGGGAGTGGGCTGGGAGATACGTGCTCTCAAGTGTTCCCCTTGGCTTTGCCGGGACCTTCTGAGAACTGCAGTGCAGTCTGAGACGTCCTTCCGCTCTCCTTCCTTCATCTTTCCTCCAAGGGGGTCAGAACAAGCCTTGAAAAAGCAGTGAGTGTACAGGGTTGGGGGCTGCTCTAGAGGGCACTGTGGGCACCTGCTCAGTCCAAGGGTTAGCATCAGTAGCTAGATATGAATAAAGGAAGGGAGCAAAGGAAATCAGACATTATTAATCATAATCAACTGCGAAGCATAACCCTGCTTTGCTAGGAAGTTGCAGCACTTACAGGTACTCCAGGGGATCGCAGCATTGCCCCCCAAAGGGGATTAGCTCCCCTCCCACCCCTGAATAGGGAGGAAGGACTGCCTTCGCTGCCACTGTGGGGGGAGATGAGCACATGTGCAACAGCAGCCAAGATAGCGACCTCGGAGGCATGTCAGTTTAGTCTAGAAAAAGGACCTGATTGGATAAGAAACACAGAACCTTGGAAGATCTAGGAAATAGACTGATTAGGGGAGGACCCAACACAAGGCCAGAGACCTTGGGAAGTGGACTGGTTAGTTTAAAGAAGCATCTGGTCAGTCCCAAGCCAGAGAGAATACCAGCCTAACGAAGACGCCGCCCCCTTCTCATGCTCCATAACACGCAATCGCTCTGTTCCTTCGTGCGCTTTTCTCCCCAGAGCAACCACGCAGCCCTAGAAGCTGCTCTGCTCCGCCGGAAGCCACACCGACTCTAAGGGGCATCAGCCAAGCCTGGGTAATGGACACAGCAGTGGCCAGCCGGTGGAGTGTAGCTGTGAGCTACAAAGTCTAGTGACTTTGATATGGACTGAACTTGGGTGTGGCACAGAATCTATGGACATTGACCCTATTTCTGGGCCATATGAAGATGAAGTTGGGCTTTTTCCACAGTGGGACAGATGGGGCTGAGACACTGAGACCATGGGGGCAGCCTTCTATTTTTACCCAAATAAATCTTAGTACGCAGTAATCTCCTCTATGTGGCTTTCCTTGTGATCCCATGAAAAGAACCCGCTTGTACAAGCAAGATTAGGAGTTCACTGTCTTGGAGCTGAGTCCAGGTGGGGAAGGCGTGTCAGGCGGAGAAGACAGTGCAGAGACCCCGGGGTGGAAGGCAGCCGGGAGACTCCAGAGGTGGGCAGTCGGTCGGGCCAGAGCTCACCCTCTCATTTCTCAGAATTGTGTCAGTTCTCGGGGACATCCTGCAGAAAACATTCCCCGATCCCAGCAGCTAAGCACCAGAGCTGGGAGCGACAAAGGGTCGTGTGATGATTACCGGAGGAGGGACACTCCACAGTGTGTCGTGTCAGGGGGTGGTGTTGGCGTCCTTCAGCCTCACTCAGCCAAGGACTCAGGGCCCAAGGCCAGGTCTGAGCCCACTCAGTGCCCTGTGCCCGCTGTGTGTTCCAGCAGGACCAGCAGGCCTGTGTGCCCAGAACTGAGGGGTTTCTCAGGACATGATATTCGCAGTGCTAAAATGGGGACCATCCTGGGCAAACGGGGCTGGCTGGTTCCCCTGGGCTGGGAGAGCGCAGGGTTGGCTGCTCCTGTCCCAGGCCTTGGGTCCTGCTATTCTCAATCCCACAGGGGCCCTCTCGGCTGCCTCCTAACCACCTGGTTCAAAATCTGCACATGGTCCTGGCTGGTGTAGCTCAGTGGATTGAGCATGGGCTGCAAACCAGAGGGTCGCCAGTTCGATTCCCAGTCAGGGCACATGCCTGGGTTGCAGGCCAAGTTCCCAGCATGGTGCATGCAAGAAGCAACCACACATTGACAGTTCTCTCCTCCTCTTTCTCCTTCTCTTCCCCTCTCTCTAAAAATTAAATAAAAAGCCCTGCACACGCCTGGTAGGGGCTGATCCTCTCTGACACCCTCGCCCACACCACTCTATGTCTACCCTTCTGTCCTTTCTCCTGAAGCAACCACACCTCCTCTGCCCTAATTCTTGCCTTTATCGTCTCTCTGGATTACAGTGTGGGAATCACTCGGCTCTCATTTGCTGAGCATTCACTCTGTGGTGGGGCCCTGTGGTAAGCACTTCAAATACGTCAGTGGACCCTTTCAACAGCCCAGGCCAGCAGGTGCTACCCTCACCCGCTATAAAAGGGAACAACGATAAAATAACCACTAGCTTCATACTGAGCTCCCAGAGGTGGGAGGGGGGCCCGCACCACGCGGTGACCAGCACAGGGCAGACACACTCCCACCAGACACGTCCCTGCTCACGGCCCTCCCCCTCCTCTGCCACAACCTTAGCCCCTCACCCTCTTTGGGCACTGTCAGCCCTTGGGCTGGAGATGGCCCGGGCCACCTGGCTCCATAGGGGGCCAGGGCAGCCTATGCCTTGTCCAGAACTTCCCAGCTCTGGGGACTGCCCCGGAGCTGGGGACGGAAACGGGGTCAGGCTTTTGCTGCAGGAGACTGCCAGGGCAGGGGGCGGGAAGCATGTGCCCAGGCGGGTCTGTGGCCCGGGAGTGAGTGTCACGCTGAACGAGTGGTGCCCACCCAGGACCAGGCCCTGAACAGACCCCTGGGGAGACCATCGGAACACAGGCGTCGGTGTCACATGGACCTTGGCTGTCTGACAGAGGCAAGTCACTTTCCCTATCTATAAATCAGCAGTAAACATAGGATGATTCATGGAAAGCACTGCACTTAGTGTGTGACACAGAGAAGGTGTCAATGACACGACTGCTGATAAAAACAGGGTGGGTCCCTCCCGAGTGCTGCAGGATGGCCTGTGGGGCCAGGTGGGTGGGGACTCCCCGAAGCTGCCTGGCGGGCTGGCTTCTCTAACGGACTCTGGGACGGCACAGTGCCAAGGCCTGTGATTCCCTGAGGGGCCCACGGGAATGTCTGAATCTTCATTTATTTAGAAATAAGAAAATAGGAGAGGATACAATAATAATGACTATATAATCATAGGGAATTTAGCTTGGGTGATATTCATTTTTTATATACCAACAGAGTTGTAAAATAGAATTGTTTAAACGATAGTTTACTTATTTATTTTAAGAAAAAGGGAGAAAGAGAGGGAGAGACAACAATGCATGGCTGCCTGTCACACGCCCCCCCCTGGGGACCTGGCCCACAACCCAGGCATGTGCCCTGACTGGGAATGGAAATGGTGACCCTTTGGTTCACAGGCTGGTGCTCAGTCCACTGAGCCACACCTGCCAGGGCTATAATAGAATTTTTATTTATTTTCTAATGGAGAAAGACTTCCCATGGAAGTCTTACTGTGACCTTGGACATGAGTAAATCCATGTGTGGTTGGGACTTATGTATAAGTATGAGCGTTTGTACCTGACCATGTGCACGTACCTG